ATGCACGGCTCATGGTATTGTACGCTACCTGGGATACCAGTATAGACATATTGTCCATTGTCAAAAGCGCTACACAAGTCTGTACATTAGCGCGACGACACTTGAAAGATAATCTCGGCGCCGGCCGGGACGGGCGCCACTATTCGAAAGTCACCCTCGTCCGTCATCTCAGCGTTGACAGCGGCGTCATTGCCTTCAGGTTGCTTGGGCGCGTGCTTGATGGCGACCTTGCGCCCATGGACGTCCTCCGAGTGGTACCGGAGCGACGCGGCGAGGCCCGTCTCAAAACTGCACAAAGGACACACGTATACTGGCTTCCGCCCGCGCCGCGCCGGCACGACGGTTGCGACGCCCGAGGCCCTGGCGCAGCTGTAGCCATGAGCGCTCTCGCAGTGCGAAGCGAGGCCGTCGATCAAGGCCGTCGTCTTGCATTGGTAGCCGCAGTGGGCGACGGGACACTGTAGCTCGCGGCCCTTGCACGTCGTCGGCCGATCGACGGCAAAGGCATCCAAATGCTCTCTCGTCACATGCGCTAGCAGCGTTGGCCAGTTCGTGATCGAGACCGAGCAAGCTGGACATGCGTACGGACCCTTGGGCGGGACGAGGTACCGCGGCAACGGATCGGGCGCCTTGCGCTTCTTTCCAGAATGGGCCACTTTGAGATGCTCTTGCAGAGCCAGCAAATCGGTCGTCTCGAAGAGGCAGCGCTCCTTGGGGCAGTCGTACACGGGTGTGCCTACCGTCCGATCAAAGGCTGGCAGCGCGTAGCTCGGCTCGTCGGGCAGGGCTCGCTTATGGCGAGAGGCGCAGTGCTTCTGCAGCGTTGGCCACTCGGTGCTCGCGTACGAGCAGTCGGGGCACCGGAACGGCGCGGGCCGATCCTCAATCTGCACGAGGTCTGATGCGACGCCGAGGCCCGCGTGGTTGATGCTAATGTGCTGCTTCACGCTCGCATGCGACTCGCTGCGGAACGCACACTTGGGGCATTGGAGCTCGCTGTTGGGGCGCTGAAAGACCGCGACGGTCGCGTCGGCGCCGAGGTTCTTGTCGATGATAAAGTCGTCGTGCTTGGTCACGACGTGCCTGTAGAGGAGCTGCCACTCGCCCGCGCGGTGGGCGCAGGCCTCGCCAGGGCAGCTATACAGTCCGTCCGAGTCCATCGTCACGTAGAACGTGTTGGGCGTGACGACGGCTTGCTCTTGCGGGCCATGGCGTCCGTCCTGTGGGCAACGGCGGCTGGCACAATATCCGGACGACCGGATACGCACGACGATCGGATAAACCCACGCAACTGCACCGAAAAGGCTTCTCCAGCTGACAAAGAACCGCCCGAGACACTGGATTTGATGCTGCATGCACCGTTCGCATCGGTGGACGATGAAGATGCATATGGCGCAATTACGTGGCGAGCGCCTGCCAGTATTGCTTCCTCTTCGCGGCTACCTCGTCGCTTTCGACATGATGACCAACTTCATCCTGTGCATGTCGTTGCTCTTTGTCATTCTTGACATCGGTCTCCATTTTGCGACGGCCACGTCAGCAACGTTGCTTCAAAACTCAGACGAGCAGCACCTTGGCGTTCACCGCGCCGCTCGATCCGCCATCGACCGATACACCGCCGTGCGGTAGCGGTTGCATCAATACGTCGCCCGACCCGTCGACGGCTCGCTGAATGATCAACTTGATGTAATACGACTCTTGGAACGTAGTAAATAGAATATATAACTTTCTTGTGGACGAGCGTGGCGTCAGGTCGTGCTAGGTAAGCTAGCCGTGGTTCTTGCAGCCGCAATGGACCTGGTGTCGGAGATGAGCTACAAGCGCCCCTTGAGGTGCATCGAATCGGATACTGAACCCCGAACGATTGATTATTTCAGCAGTTGACCGAGTACTGGAGCCTGTGTACGACCTGTTCCTCGGTGAGTGAGGTCCATCACGGGAAGGATCTCTCCGTGCGCAGCTCACTCCCAACGACCAAGCAAGTGCTGGTGCCAACTTCGACGCATTCTGGCGTAGCGCTACGTATGCAAAGTCTTTGAGCAGATTTTTGCTCATTGGATTTCAAGTCGAACACGTTTGAACAACAAAAATGGAAAAACTAAACTAAACTTAAACTTTCGAACAAGCCATCCGGTCCACACGTTGGGTAAACCTTCTGCTAGCCCGAAACATGCGTTTTGGCCACTGGATCGAGCGGGCTATCCAGCTGCCGCGTCGCTTCTACAATATGCCAATCATCACAAGTAGTAGCTCTGGATGAATGCGTTCGCCACTTGTCCGCTGTACATCCGCGCGCGATACAAAAAGCAGACTCACTTTATCGTTTTCCCCACCATGTTCAAGGGCCTCTTCCTCTCGACGCTTCTCGCCGCCTCCGCGATGGGCCAGCTCACCGAAGTGCTCAACCTTGTCTCGAGCATCGCGCAGGCCAACCCGATGGTCAACGCCGCCGCGATCCAGCAGAAGGTCGGCACCTTCTTCACGCCGCTGAGCCCCCAGCAAAAGGCGCAAGACGACGCGGAAATGAACACGAATGCGTTCTGGACGGCCAAGTGGGGCGCTGCGCCCGTCGTTGATGCGCCCGTGCAGATGGCGGCTCCGGTCGCACCCGTCATGGCGGTGTTCGCTCCGTCAGCAGACGAGCCGACGACGCCGCCGGCAGTCGCCGTGCCCGAGGCCTTGAACATGTCAGCACCGACCAACGGCACACAAGCATTCTAAGCATGTACTATCGCTATATCGTGTCTGCCTCTGTCCTCACGAGTACGAGCTTTGACTGTCTAATAATGTATTTCCTGTCCCCACGCCAACTCGTCTGACCAGTCGCTACAACGCAAACTGCACTAACTTACTATTCTTACACGTGAAAGCCGAGTACGCAGGACCAGCGTCGACATGGCCGAGCTCTCGAGTCTACTTGCCAACCACTTCACTACTAAGGGACGTTGGCTGGACACGATACCAACGTCGGATTTTGGCCACTTTAGCGCAGTCGGTCGAGGGTGCATCGTGGATCTCAGTACTTGCAAACGAAGATGACAGCCCGCGGGATGGGACCAGGGCTGTGCGTGTGCGAAGCCATGCGTGGGAGGGTTTATTGGGTCATCGATGGCTGTAAACATAATGGAAATGGATTACGTGGGAACTAGGGTTCTAACTTGAGTCGCTTTACGCCCGGCAGTTTTCGAGGTCAAAGACAATAATGTCGGTCGCGCCGAGTTCGTGCAAGTCGTCCATGATGTCGCCGACATCCGAGCGGGGTACCATGGCCGAGACGGCGAAGAACGCTTCGTTAAAGAGCGGGTTGATCGTCGGCGCCTTGCGACCTGGAGTGACCTTGATCGCGTGCTGGAGCTTCTCGGAGCAAACGTTGTACGTGATCATCTTGTACTGCTGCGCGAGGATGAAGCCAAGAAAGCGCTGGTGGATCTTCTTGACGAGCTTTTCGTGGCGCGTCTTGGGGTTCGAAATCAAAACCGCCTGCGTCGTCATGATATTGCTGACGATCTCAAGGCCCGCAGCCTTCATGGTCGTGCCAGTCTCAACGAGATCGACGATGCCGTCGGCCAAGCCGAGGCCGCACGCGGCTTCGACCGAGCCGCCTACGTACTTGATCTCTACACACCACCCACCATGAGCTTTCGATCCAGTTGATACATTGATACAAGCGTACGCGTTGGCGTCGTGGTCTCAAACTGCTTGAAATACTGCGCCGTGATGTGCGGGAACGACGTGACGATGCGCTTCCCGGCGAGCTGGCTCGGGTGCGTGATCGCGCTGTTCACGGGGCCTTGCACGGCCAGCTTGCACCGGCCAAATTCAAGGTTCTAGCCTCGTCCTTAGGCTCGCATTGAGTGCAAAACGAGGCCTCGTACCATGAGCTCGTGGACCGTCGTCTGCGACTCGGCAATGATGTCTTGGCCCGTGATGCCGAGGTCGACGTTGCCTTCGCCGACGTACGTGGCAATGTCCGAGGCTGGGAGGAAGACGAGGGTGACTGGCAGTGACGAGCACTGCGCAATATCGAGGCGGTTGGGCTACACAAGGAGAGCATGCATCCTCGAATTCACTAATAGTTAGTATACATACCCGGTTGTAGTCGAGGCCGGCGCCGTTGAGGAGCTTGACGACGCTCTCGTAGAGGCGGCCCTTCTTCGGGATCGCAAAGAGGAGGTTGTCCTGCTTGGGCGGGGACATGGGCGGTGCCATCGACATGATCGCGTTCGTGCTGGAAATTGAAAACTGAGCAATGCGAGGATGAAAGATCTTCCTTCGAACTTCTGGTGGTACGCGTGGGACATACCCGTGTTCATCGGCTTTCCCTCGGTTGAACAACCTTCATGGCCATTTTGATCTTTGAATATATGTTATTATTCCCGTTGACAGACTAAATGTCGTTAAAGCGAGGTCGTCTTGCAAGGCCGTCCTCTAACTGCATCTAATTCTTGTGGTCTGCTTGGAGACACCAGCTGCGCATGCAGCGATCGCGACGCCACGGTGTTGGCACACTTACGCCCGAGCTGCAAGCAAATGGCGTCATCTTCGGCTTCGGTGGTCTTCCACGATGCGTCGCCGGCACTGTACCTCCTGGTCATTATGGCAGCTGGTGGCGACAAGAGGATCCCGTCGCCGCTGCGATCGGTGCACCATGTACCTGCCCACGGTGCGCTGCTACTGGCATCGTGCCACCTCGACGACATCACGCGAGGATGGACGGCAAGGATTGTCCTGCTGCAACTTGTTGCTCACCGCTCGCCACGCCACCGCCCGGTACAGAGACAGTTTTAGTGTAGACGTGCATTGACAAGAAAGGGCTACTTGCTGTGCCAGAGGCTCAGCCACGCCGATGTGATCGTGTTGGTCTGCTCGATGGACTGCGTCATCTCCTCGAGGTTGTCGCTGAGCCGCTTGAGCGCCTGGTTGAAGTTGTTCATGGCCTTCGTGCTGGCTTCGTACTCGTCGGCCTCCTTGAGCGCCGGCGCCGGTGGCAGGCGATGGCCCTCCGTGCTCTCCATGATGGCGCCGTCGACGTTTTGTCCAATCTGGGCGGCGCGCACCGTTTTCGGTGCGCTCATTGGCTATAATACAATACCAACCATCGAAAAACGTATTTTTATTGTGATATTTAAATCGGCCTACAGACACCCATATCTAGTGGGTACATTTCAATACATAATACATTGCTCGCCCCTTGGCTGAAAATGGAAGGCGTGACGCGCACATGATCGCGACGCTGGGATTGGCCAAGAAAATGGATCTTTTCTAGGATTGGTGCATCGGACAGAAAGGACGCGGGGATTGGTCCCTGGATGCATCGCGTCGCTTGATTGGGCGTGGTGGGAGGTTGAGATCTTAGAGGTCACTTTCGATTTCGGCGACTTTGCACCATGCACGACTTTGAAGCAGCGCAGGCCCACTTCCTCTACGAGCACCGCGAGCCGTGCAGCCAGATCGCGCTCATCCAGATCGTCACCTTCCTCATCTCGTTCGTCTTCACGTACGTGACGTGGTGGTCGGGCCTCTTCGGCCTCCTTGTCGCGATCGTCGGCTACTACGGCTGCCTCACGCCCGTCGTGCAGAGCAAAGTGAGCTTCATCCAGTTCTACTACTTCGGCAACTGCTTCATCCTGCTCCTCCAAGCGCTCTCGGCCATCGTGCTCATCGTCGTCGTGAGTGAGTGGGCCATCGTCACCGCGTGGGGCTGGGTCGTCATCGTGCTTGGCACGGTCTGCTTCATCTTCCAACTCTACATCACGGTACCTCCTCATCCGAGTGGCCCGAAGGCTAATGCGTATGTTTCTGTAGTACATGGCCATGCAGCGGTCGCACTCGTACCGCGCTGAGCTCATGCGCAACCCGCCGCCGGCCGAGATCATGGTCTACTCGCAGCAGGCCGTGTACACGGCTGTGCCGCAAATGGTCACCGGCTACAAGGCGCCCATGGACACCAAGTCGATCTAATCGCGTCCCTCTTCATCTTTTTGCATCGTATGCAGCTAGCTTTTGTATCATGACATGGAAATGAACGTGGCGGCGACCTCGTCGCACGCCTTAACTTTCGGTGCGTCTCTTGCGAGCTGTGAGAGCGGTGGACTTTCAGCCATCAAAACGGTGCAGATGACGAGCCTCAGAGCACAGCCAACGGCGCAACCTGCGGTGCTAAGGACTTCCAACGGTCGCTTCTCACGCCGTGTCTCCCAGCTGTCAGGCTGCCTTCGCTCTCCACGCACACTAACGACGGTACTGGACCAACTTGTGTCGCGTATTGTGCTACGGTCTAAAGTTGAGTGTCGTGTTAAGTTGCAAGTTGAAAACCTGTGACATTCAATGTGCGAGTATGTTGTGTGGGAGGAGCTTGGGCGTTCCTATATCGAGGTGGATCGGGCCAATATTTGGTTGCCGACCATTCATCCATTTTTGAGGCCGATGTTTCCTCGCCTTGCCCTCATCGGCGCCGTGGCGCCGCTGCGCGTGGCCAGCCAGCGCCAGATCAACCGCAAGCTCAAGCACCCGGCCACGCTGCGCAAGCTGGCGCGCAAGGAGGCCGAGAACCCGCGCCCGAAGTCGTCCGGAGCCTTGAAGTCGAGCCGACGTACGTGCCGGAGAAGGTGAGCTTCAACGGCTGGTCGCCGGCGCGCGCCGAGGGCCCGCTCGAGGGCCTGCCGTTTACGGTCAAGCGCACGTCGACGGGCTTGCAGCTGCCCGTGACCGCGACTACCGCACGGCCGCACGCGCATCATCACG